ATTAAGACACTCTTTCCTGGAGGAGGGCAAATCTGGAAATTTTGCAGATGTGGTGACTGCAAAATAACTAAAGTTGTGGAATGGGAAATATTCCAGGACTCCTATTATTTTTATCTCCAAACCTTGAAAGAAATGGCATCAGAACTAAAGTCCAGAAAATTCTGTTGGATTTAAGTTTTGTCTTCAGCCACGTCGCTAAGAGCAAATGTGCTATTTTCATTGAGAAAAATGTCAGGGTTGTGCTCAAATGTATATTGAACTTACGCTTGTGACAGTGTTCATTGTTATAAATTATGTTTAGATTTATCCAAGGTAAGCACAAATAATATAGTTTTACGAAAAAAAATTAACCATAGTTTCCAAATCAAACAACACATACCGAGTGGCATTATTTTCCTTTTCTGAAAAATGGAGGACAGCTGGGTTCTTACATCCCCTTCTGCATTCAATCTATTGCAAATCTTGTTGTTGTTGTTTTCAAATAATAATTGTATATATTAAAGGAGTATAACATGATGTTTTGATATCCATATACATAGTGAAATTACTATATTCAAGCTAAGTATATATTTATCTCCTAACACATTTACTTTTGTTTGTTTGTTTGTTTGTTTGTGGCAAGAGCACCTGAAATCTATTCTCTTTGCAAATCTACTGGAAAGTATACAAAATGGTATTATTAACTACAGTCACCATGCTGCACATTAGATCTCAAGATACTATAGAAAATGAACACTAATACATTAAATATATCAATGGACAGATTTCAACAGCATCAGTAGGATAATTAAAGTCAGTGAATTCTGAAAACAAATTATCATGAAGCCATGTTTATACAAGCATGCCTGAATAATTGGAGTTCAAGCATTTATTATATCTACTCTGTTCAGGGTAAACTGAATTAATACAAGATAATGGGATTAATTCTAAAATCTGTCTCACTAGTGCCTTACTGACACAGCTGAAATCCTCCAAAATCAGACCCTTTCATTTGCAAAGTGAATTCTTTCAGCTAGAAAATATTCATGATTTGTTTTCTAAAAATTTCACAACATTTTAAAAGAATATGTTTGAGGAAGACACATAAGAGAGATATCTAAGTACAACGTGGTAGGGTTGACCCTGCTGTCACTCTTGCTCTCTGGCAAGCAAATGTGGACCTGAACTCCTAGCCAAAGGCTCACTGCCACAGGGTGTTTCTATAGATATGTGACTTTACTGCAAAGCATAACAAGTATGGTTTTTTAGAGATAAGAATGAAAGTCCACTGATTGAGAGCAACCGTCCATGCTTTAAAACGTTAGAAATAAAATGCTCTTAAACAGAGAATATCCTCAAAGAGATAGATGCCTTAGTATGGGGGTGTCCAGCAGAGTTTTCAAACCACACACACACACACACACACACTTTTTTTTTCACTTTTTTTTAAAAATTAGTTTCAGGTGTACAAAACAATGCAATAGTTATCTTTTTCACCCCTTACAAAGTGATAACCCCCCTCCTATCCACTGCCCCCCACCCCTGATATCATACCTACCTATAACGATTCCATTGATTCCACTCCCACACTATACTCCATGTCCCATGACTATATATGTATTAAATTATAGTTGACATATAATATTATTCAACGGCAGCTTCAGATGTACGGTGCAGTGGTCAGGCCTCTAAACCATCCATGAAGTGGTCTCCCTAACAAGACATGAGTCCTTCTGGCCCCTAAAAAATAACAAAAATTTTTTTTCATTGAAAGCTTTCCAAAAAAAAAATCAAAAGGCTCGTGGAGAATTGTCCTGACAGAATTTAACTCTTACAAGTCAATCAGAGGCCGAATAACACTTACGATGCAGAAAGTTAGAATCTTCCTATAAAGCATTTTCCCTAACCATTGTTTAGGATTTTCTTATAGGGTACTATGGTATTTTTGTCTTTAACATTTCAGCCAGACTTTATATTTATTCATTCATTCAACCATCAAGTGCCTCCTGGATGCCAGCATTGGGGAAGCAAAATGAATAGCTATGCCTCCTGAACTTCTTGAATCTGATGGGAAGGGACAAGTACATAGACAACCTCGATGATGTTCAATAAATATAGGGTGATGGTGGGAAAAACACTCAACTCCATTTGGAGGGGCTTCATCAGAAGGAACAAATAGAAGGGTGGTCCAGGCTTTGGAAACGGCATTTAAGAAGGCATGGGGACAGGTAGAAAGGCACTTTTCAGTCATGGCAAAACCACTCAAAATGAGTAGGTGAGAGCAGAGAGGTAGATAGAGGCCAGAGGACAAATGGAGAAGAAATCTTTAATAGATGTTAAACAGAAATGAAATGATCAGAATTACATTTGAGGATAACACTCTGGGGTAGAAGGCATAATTTTCCTAAAACAATTGGATGTTTAATTGACTGAAGTAAGTTGTAAGAAAAGTTACATCTTTGTCCACAGAAGAGGCATTGACTTTCAAATGAATGACTAGGTCTTTTTCTCAGCAGTTGCTGTCTTTGAATACAGAACCACCAACTGAGGGAAGATGAAGGAGAAGGCTTTACTCTCAGGGACAATACAGGCATTACTGAGAGAGTACTTGCAAACGGGTGACCATCGTCACTTTTCAATCAAGTGCATGTCATATGGGGTACGTCAGCTCTGCTGGCAGTAACCAATGCAGATCCAAGGAAAGGGAAGTAGAAGATAAGCATTGTCTACACTGTCATGGGGATTATTAAAAAATAGACCAAGAGAGCAATTTAATACAATTGCTCGTATTCCTTCATCTTCTTCAAATTGTGCCTGCATCAAATGTCAATGTATGCTATAATTATTCTGCTAATCAGCAATCTTCTTTCAATATAATCTTGTTTTCCAAGTAAAATGTTTTTGTTATTATTTTTAAATACATTTTACTTACTTAATTTCTTGAAATGGTAGCACATTCACATGGTTCGAGCATCAAAAAGTATAAAAAGAAATATAGCAGTGTCTCCTTTCCACTCCTGCTTTCTGTCTGCCAAGTTTCTATCCCCCCAAAACAAGTAGCCAACATTATTAGGTTCTCACTTAATTCCCAGGGTTTTAAAAATATATATACAAGTCTGTACAAGTATAGATTATTTTCTCTTCTTTTTTTTTTCACCCTGAGAGTACACTATTTTGGCACCCTTCCTTCCCCACCTAAAATTAATCTTGGAGATTGTATTAGTCAGCTCTGGCTGCCATAACAAAATCCCATAGACTGGATGGCTTAAACAACAGAAATTTATTTATTTTTTTTTACAGTTTTGGAGGCTGGAAATCTGAGATCAGGGTGCCAGCATGTTCATGTTCTGAGAGCTCTCCTCCTGGCTTGCAGACAGCCACCTTCTCACTGTGTCCTCACTTGGCAGAGAGAGACAGCAAGCTTGCTAGTGTCTCTTATTATAAGAACAATAATTCCATCACGAGGGCACCACTTTCATGACCTCATCTAACCCTGATTACCTCCCTGAGGCCGTATTTACAAATATCGTCACATTGGGAATTAGGGCTTCAACATGGGAATTTGGGGCGGGGGATACAAACATTCTGTTCATAACAGAGATCTTTCCATATAAACACTAAAGAGCCTTTCTGCTCTTTTTAGAGCTGCACAGGGTGCTGTTGTTACATCATATATCTTTCATGTTGAAACCAGGAAAACTGAAGCTGTGCTTTATTCCTTGTTAATGGGATCTGCAGCAATAAAGTAAGAGGACATGAGTCTTAGAGAATCAAAGGTGGTATTTCTGATAAGGTTACACATAAGCTAGAATTATATTATATTCTGATGATTGCTGGAATTGTATCTAAACCCAAGCAATACATTTAGTGCACATTCATTCGCCAATCATTAGGTCCTCAAAAGATCAGCTTTCTAAATTATATATGGTTGAAATGTTTTCTTAATATGAAGACACTGACTGTATTTAAAGATGTAAATTGTATTAAAAAATATAGTTATGAAATATATTTTTTATGTCATTGTTTATTAATAATGGTCAATTTATACTTGACTGTTATTTACTAGACATGTTATACAGGCTAGTCTAAACACATTAGTGTATATTTAGCTTCTGAGAAGAGTATTTGAGTAGAAGAATATTTAATGATCTCTATGAAGAAAGTTGAAATGTGGTTTAGCCCAGAAAAGGGCAAGAACCAAGAATAAGGAAGAGAAAAAATGTATGGCCATAAAATATTTCTGGATAACCACACTGAAAGCAAAATAATAGACTGTGTACTACTCCAGCAGCCTGAACTATTCCTGCCTGAAGGAAGAGAAGGCAGAGGGGAGAGACAGAGTGAAGGTGAATAGAACATTGGGTCTTTGCAATATGGCTGAAATTGGATTCAGGGATAAGGGAGAGAGAGGAATCAAAGATGGAACCAAGGTTTCAAGCCTAGATGACTGGGTAGAAAAGTAACACTGTTGGCTGAGATAGGGTGGAGGATATTTAGGACAGGGTAAGAGTTTACTTTTATATACACTATGTTTGGGAGCTAGTGAGATATGTAGGTTAAAATTATCAGCAGGTATTTAAACAGGTTGAAGGAAAGAGAGAGATCTGGGGGTTGTTTCAAGAAGTACTGATGAGAACAAGAGGGAGAGGGCAATGGAAGAAGAAGCAAGGACAGAACAATGGAGATCAATTACATTCAAAGGTAGAAGGAAAAAGATGAGCATGAAAGGAGAGAGAAGAGTGATCAGAGAGAGAGAGAAGGTGAACCAAGGTAGGGAGCCTATGGAAACCAAAAGAGGAAGGTATAGTCAATTACATCACAGGCTAGAAGAAAAATAAACAAAGATATGACCCCTGCAAACAGTATATTAAGAGGCAAAGGTCAGATTTTAAGACATCAAGTAATGAGTTGATAGTGAGAAAGTAAAATCAAGATTCTAGTCTTTTGGCTCTTTAACAATGCTATTTCATATTTATATTCCACTTTAGAGTAACAGAGTACTTCCACATACGTTACCTCTTTTGATGATATCTCAAGGGAATAGTCTTGTAGGTAGATAAGTGGAGAAAAAAGCAGTGGTGAAGGATAATTGCAAATGCAAATGGAAGATGAAGTAATGGATGGAGTTACTTTCCTAAGGAAGTGAAAGAGGGAGAATTTAGTGCTGGAAAACAGTAGGCGTCTCTCTAATTTTGAGTTAGAAAGATGTTGCCTGACAGCCGAATTCTATGAACACGTCCCCCCGCATTTAGCCTCTAATCCCATTAGCTATGAGAGAAAAGCCTCGGTATGACCGGAGGCAGTAATCTCTCTGAGGGAGTGCCTCGGTATGACCAGAGGCCGATAAGACTCCCTCTGAGGAGTGTCTCAAGGTGAATTGGGACCTGTTGGGACGCCAACGGCTAATCTCCTCTGGGAGGACACAGTAACAAGGTGTCCTGGGGCTATGTGGTGGATATGTGAAGGCATAGCATATGCTGGAACATAATGGATATGTTAATAGATAAGGCTTTGAGGCACAGACCTCAAACTGGATGTTAATCTGATCAACAGCAGTTTTACTTCTCAATAAAAACCAAGCGTCGACCCGATTCGGTGGCTCAGTCTGACTCTCTGAAGGCTGAGTCCCTTGGTCTCGCACTTAAATCTTACTTCTGTCTCTGTCTATTTATTCAATCTGCGTCGCCCCTCTCGTGTCCCATTTGCCCTTGCCACGCTGGACGTGACAGAAAGAAGACAATATGAGTTGGTAAAAAGACATGAACATTTTAAGTAAAAATAGTTTAGAAAGATTTATGACTAAAGATCTACAAGGAATCAAGATAACCTTGAGTTGAGGGCTCAACTCAAGCAGGAGAAATGTGAACTGAGTGGGGAGATGATGTTGGCATAAAGAGTCACAAAACTGACTCTTCACCCAGTCACAAGCTTCCCAGATTTCTAATACAATAGTCCTCTCACTAATATAAGGGTGAGTAGACACTGAAGTACTGGAGCCAAGAGCAAACAGTTTGATGTCTTAAATAACCTCAGCAAAGGCTTTAAGGGAAGTTCATTTACTATACAATTCAATTTATAAGTTGTTATGAGCTCCCATTTGCAGCCTACTCCACAGGAAGGAAAAGCATTAAACAAGCTGTTGGAATAAGGCATTCCCACAGCAGAAGATATCCTGCAGTTTTTGAAACAACAGGGATGTCAGCCTGTGGTCCAACCTCCAATCACCCTCTTTAGAGAGTTCTGCTTCTTTCGAGACAGTACTCAGGTGTTTATAATTTTCTCCGTTAAAAGGTATGCATATTAAGAAAAAAATTTCAGTTTTACTCTATGAGCTAACATATTGGGAGACAAAAGTATGATAGGCTTCCCTTTGGGGCTGAAAATTCCACATGACATGTCCACTTGGGCCTTGTGGTACCTTAGCCAGACATCCTCAGATTCTAGTCATTTGGCTCTTTAAACCAACTCTATCATTAAAATGTTAATCTCTTTATTACATCTTATACAAGATAAAGGCTATTATCTTTGCTTGCTCAATACACCTCCCTCCCTGAAACAAACAAGCAAACAAACAAATGTTCTAATTTCAAGAGTAATCTTGACAATGTGGGTTTGATTAGACATATCATATTACCTCATCTTCCTGGCTTGGTGATTGGTTTGGGGAGAAGCATGTGACTTTAAGTTGATTCAACACAAATAACTCTTGGAATCTTTTTCAGGTTAGAGCTAAAGGGCAAGAAATCTTCTTTCTTTGCTAGTAGAATTGCTTATAGGATGAGGAGAGAGACCAAGGTTGCTAGGAGCCTTGTTCTCCATGGCATGGAGAAAGCCATCTGTGCAGAGAACCAGAAACAATAGTCAGAAATAGAGAGTGTGAACCCTAAAAGTGTTCCTGGACCTTTTCAGACATTTTCAGGACCAGTTTTCTAAATCTTGTGTTTGGATTACAGCAGCCAATAAATTTTATTTTTTGTGTGGGCAAGTTGGGATTCTGTCATGTGGCTCACAATACCTTATGCTTATAAGGTGCTCAATAAATCTATATATTGATTATCTGGTTGCTTCTATGTCAGTGCTTTTTCTGTACCTTTTGCTTCTGTACTTTCTTTGTGTCCTACAGCCTCATTCTCCTTGATCAAAAGGCTGCAATTTTCCGGTAGTAACTGGATGCCCTCACCCCTTGACACTGTCCAAGGTCACTTAATATGTGTGTGTTTCAGTTTCCTAATTTGTAAACTATGGCAAATAATAATAGCATCTACTTATTAGCATCAACTATATTCCAGGTACTGGCCTAATGCTTAATTTATTTCCCTCAGCAACTTTGCAACACATGCGTAATAATCCCCATTTTATAGATGAGGAAGCTGAGATGTAATGAGGTTAAATGAATACAGCTTGAGTGACAGAATTCTGATTCATACCCAGGTTTGTCTGAGCCTCTGAGCCTGTGCTCTTTCCAGGATCCTATGATGCCCTACTTACTCAACAAGCTTTTGTGTGTGTAATAAGACACTTCAGGTGAAGCTGCTCTATAAATAGAAAATGATCAAAAATCATTTTCCAATTGACAACCACAGTTATGGAAGTGAGCCCAAATATTAACAAGGAAGATTTAGGTTATGAAGAATATTCTGACTACCCCAATTATGGCATTAGAAACAGTAACTGAAAAAAAAAATGCTGAATCGTATATAAATGAGAAATTTTATGAAGACAGAAAGTGCAGCCAAGATTCTGTTTCACTTCTGAAGCCTCAATAAAACTCAGAAGGACATAAGTAAGCTCTGCTAAGCTAGGGAGGATCGAACCTCATTTCTCATTTTTCTCATTGGACCGTCAATGCCGAGGGCCTGCCGTTTCCTTTGTGGCCCTGTGGATGAAGTGTCCTTATAAAATGGGGACATTTTGACTTACAGATCTGGATGGCAATATCAGAGGTGTTTGAAATGAACAAACATAGAATCACGCTGCTTATGTAGCATTAAAACACACATGAACCCTATTTTTGTATAAGTTTAACTGAAAGAATAATAAAACCAGGTCTACATGTTAAAAACATTTTGTATTAAAACTCTTATGTTCTTCAAGCTTTAATTACTGTTTCAAACAACTTCAAGAAAACCACATTATGAACTGCTTTATGTCCATTTTCTTCATTAAACTGTGAGTGCTTTGGACATAGAAATTATATCTTACTCATTTTTTATCTGTAGAATCTGATATAGGTAAATTTGGCATAGGTTGCATTGTGATTTTTTTTATGAGTTCTGGGAACTTTAGCCTTTGTGGACCTCTTTCTCCATAAAAAATATTAAAAATTATATTTTCTGACCGTGTTGGCATAAATACAAATATATTAATATGAAATCTTTAAACATTTTCTTTAACCTAAACTCTCATTTTTTTTGTCTAATTAAAAATAATTAAACCATTTGCACAGGCCCCTGCCTGTATTGTGGGCTTCTGGTGCTACGCTTGTCTTGCCTATGGATGTCAGTCCTGCTATGTGTTAATACAATTTTGTTAAATGGGTGAAATGAATAAATGATTTAACATGAACATTTATCTGGTGGTAGTGATTCTTAGAGCTTCTATTTTGAAGTAAGTTTTAGTTTAAAATATTTTTCAAAAGTAGCTAATTAATAAAATCATCACAAAGTACTAAGATTCATTTAATCTGAAGCCAACTATTGAAATGCCCTACTGTAAACAAAATTAAAACCCAAGAGCAGTGTAGAAGTCTGTCAAAGTGGCAGAATAAATATTTTAAAATAATATCGGAGGTTGCTGTAATTTTGAACAAATACAGCACACCTCTTAAATACTGAAATTTAAATATTTTCTCTTTAAAACTCTGACATTCCAAGAGAGTCCGTTCATAAGGTGGACATGCAAAAAAAAACCAAACACAAAAAACATGGGTTTATACTTGGAGCCACGGAGTTATTGACCATAATTTAGTTGAACATGTGCCCAGAATGCTAGACCTGCTGCCTTTCACAACATTGCTTTTGGAACTCAGTGTTTCTTCACTGTTGTTTTCAGAGACATCTTTTTTAAATGGAAAATTGATTGATGAAAACTTAGGCATGGATAAATGCTAAAGCATACAATAAATGAAAATGCTGTCATTTTGTAAGAAAGGTTTATTGGCTAACTGTGCTATTTCTTCTAGTAATTCAAAGTCTAGTGTTTAATTCATAGAATGAAATGCAGAAATCAATTATTCCATCCATAGTATGGGAAAACTTATTTTCAAAATTATGTTTTGGGAAGCTACCAGGATGACTTAACCACTGACATAATAAAATGTAGTGTCATATCTGAGCAGTTTTTCCCACTTTGAGATATACTGAGCACAGGAAGCATTTTTGCATTGTCTGGACAGGGTTGTGTGCAAACTAATATCTGGATAATAATTTAGATTTGCTTTTCCATGAAGGATATTCTACATATAAAGCAGTACTAGTATTTATGGGATGGATAGTTATCAGAACAGCTCTTAAAGGCTACATAATAAAAAGTGCATTAAAGCTGCCTAAATGAATTAACCATAGATACTGAAATGGATTCAGCTAATGGATTCTGCCTCCCCAGAGAGTGCCCTCTTTTAATAATAATTAAAAAAAGCAAAACACATGCATTTCCCTCTTTTTCATAACATCCAGCCACCTGACCCAGAGTGGGGTTGGGGGACTGCCCACAGCACTCCTGAGCCAGCAGGAGGGAGAGGTCATCTAGTGATCAGACACTCTTGCGTCTCCTCTCCAAGGGCAAATGGGCTGCCTCAGCAGCTGTCGCATCTTGCTGCCTTTCGAAACAGGAAACCGGTCTAGAGTTTCACACTTATCTCCTGCATTGCATTACCAAGCTGGCAGTCTCGCCAGATCCTTGTAAATGCCTGTTATACATGAAGATGGTGAAGGCTTGAGGGACTGGTGAACAGGGAGGGCATTGGTGTTTGGGAGGGGCCATTACCTGGCTCAGTTTGCAGCCATCTACGGAATTGTTCTGGAGATAAAATAAGCACACAGGAAGAGGAGGATGCCCAAGGTCATTTGGTCCATCGCATGCTAATAGGCAGAATCACACCCCAGTGCATGGCTGAAACAGTCAAGGGTCTTCTGATGAGGCTGCTAAGTTATCCAAGGCACATACTGAGGAGCTTCAAAGACCCAGACTGTGGACTCAAAAACCACAGTTATTCACTTGCTTTTCAGTCAGACAAGCCCCTTGTTCTCCTTTTCCCATTCGATATTCTGCCTTGGTCATCTTATTGCTCAGTTAGCAGTTCCAGCAGAGGGCAGGCAGGGGAAACGAGTCATATATTACAGCAGATGATCTACAGTCTTCTGGACATGTTCAGGGAAATTTTCTGATTTACTAAGAGCAACAAAGTTCCCTCTGTCCAAATGTGTTTTTCGTTTTTTTGTTTTTTTTCCTATTTGTCTATATAACGTGTTACTTGTTTTCAGGGTCTCTTCTTGCAAAAAATTTATAGTCTGGTTTGGGAAGATAAAATGAAGACACAGGAAATAGTGAGAAAGCCATGCTCTAAAGCCATCCCAAACTATCCCAAGTAAAGTCATGGGTTTCAAGAGAAGGAAGAGAGGTCTCTGTGTGCTGAAGTTGGTGGTAGCATTTATAGATTAAAAGTATATATTAAAGTAAACAATTAGTGCAGAGATGTGAGAGTTAATGTTTGGACAAATGTAGTTGTTGAAAAGTCTCTGAACAGGCTTGAGGGACAGCCGCACAGAGAGAACTCATGGACATCCTGTGAGAATTTGGTTTATGTATTGTAGGACAGGTCTCACTGAGTCTCAGCACCAGGGCTTTGTGGTGATAAGCCAGAATGAAGGGACTGGGAAAGTCAGGATTGGTTGGCATTCCAGGGGGAAAAATACTCAGTATCTTTCCATATCATTCATTAAGTTCTGTGTGACAATGTCGTGAGCAACTCACTATGGGGAGGTCTTCATCAGATAAACAGGGCTGCAAAATTCATAGCCAAGGAATGTGGGCTGAAGAGGCACTCCCAGCCACAGCTGCTACCTGAACACCCAGGACTGGCTGGGAACCAAGGAGACATGCTGAAACCAGGAGCCTCAGCGACCAATGGCAATGTTACAGCTGCTTAATCCTGAAATGAAAAGTAATTGCTTCTGGCTTAAAGAATAAAGGAAAAACAAGATCAGCCTTGGCTGAATTACATTTTTTTCCCACCCCCCCAAAAACAACCATGCTGTAGACCAGGTTCTAAAACCTGCTTGGTATTTGAAAATGTGAGGAAATGGATGTTTTCTGTCAATATAATTTAAATCCATCCAGGAGTACTGGTATATAAGAACACTTGAATGCAAATACATTTTGATTAACATGACTAAATCAAATGTGTTTACTTTTGCTATAAGGGATGACATCTAAAGTTTAACTTACCGGAATATAATTTTAGAAAGTCAGTCTTCAAAATAGCTGTTGCTCTTTTTTTTGTTTGTTTTTGTCGTGTTTCCTACTGAAAAGTCTCAGCAGAAGCTACCAGAGCTCTTTTTCTGTACAGATGAAACTGCAACTGGAGAAATATGGAAAAGTGGGGACGGAAAAGGCATTTCAATACTTCTAATATATTCCTGTGATGGAATTGTCTTCTCTGTAAATAAAAGAATTCATAAAAATTCATAAAGGAACAGCTACAAGTTTAAATTATTGTTACAAGGATCGAAAGATGACTTTAACACATAACTGAATAATATTTGTGTTTTTACCTGTTTACCTCTCAAGTGACTACAGAATGGCAAATATCAGGAGATGTTCTGATTATAGAGCCTCCATAGCCTTGAAAGTAAGGGAGCAACGAAAAAAAGTAAAAACAGAGTAAGAATGAGAACAAACAGATACTGCCTTTCAAGTTCCAATTTGTAAATTACCTGTATTAATCTAAAACATTTGTAGCAGAATCACAATGATATACAGAGAACTAGTTAAAATACATGTATATATTGTCTCCTAGAGCCATGTAAAATTGCCTACACAAATAGCAGTTTCATGTGTTTTTACCTAATATCATAAACCGCCACAGAATTATCATCAATCAATAATAACCAATAAGGAATAAACCCATTTTGTCTTCCTGCCATCATTCTGTACAAGCATTAACATTATAAAACTAATATGACACATGGTATCTTCTTACAGGTGCTGGCATTGAGGACAGTCCTCATAGAAGATTCAAGGCTATTTATAAACAATTATTCATAACTTGTGTTTCTGCTTCATTAATTCAAAACAGACAAAAATAATTCTTATACCAGAAGCTTTTTGGATACCCCCCGTTTTTCGGATTTAACCTAATAGAATAGCATCATGAGACTGACAACTGTACCTGCTTTGTCTGTGAGCTCAGGCCAATGGACAACTGGAAGGCCAACCATGGACCCAATACCTGAATGCACAATAATCACAAACACAGGGCTTTTTTAAAATGAAAGGTGTCATACAACCCATGAGGTAGAGAAACAGCCATGAACAACATAAGAATGCAAAGAATGTCCACAGCTGATGAATCCCTCTCTCCTGGTACATGGCACACAGCCAGTTGACCCTGAAAGACACAGTATTTCCAAAGATGAAGAACTATGGTACTTAATAGCACTTCAAATATTTTTTTATAAAGCAAATCTTTTCACACCAATATTCTATTATTTTATGCCAAGAAAGGGTACTGAGTGATAAAATGGCCCTAATTTTCTTTTTTTACACTGTGCATGATTGAGATGTTAGCAAGCTTTCCATTCCCATTATTGAAAAGCCTTAGACAAGCTTTCTATTCTTACAAAATATGAGACTGTCCCAAGGAAATACAGATTTAAATTATAATGTAAACACATATTTTAATGGAGATACACAGTGATTGCAAATATTTAGATGATTAGAAATGTGGTATATTGTTGAATGCAATTTTAACCCAAATATGTCACTTACAGATTTAAGACAAGCTCAGTTTTCTATGTAAAAACAAACACAACACAAAAAACGTATGATTACAAAAACATAATCTCCCATGTCAAATATTATTTTAAAATTATCAATGACACATTTTATGCAAACACTGATATTCCCATACCAAATGACCCTGAGAGAAAGCAAAGGTCTTTCTTTGCCCAGAGATTTCCAGTAAAGACTTATTCTTTAGTACTTGCATTTTGCTTTTTGGAGCTAGAACTAAAATTATTGACAATTCAAATATAATTATCAGCATTTCCCTAGGTAAACTAACTCCCAAGTGCCTTACGACCTGCTTTCTAAAAATAAATATATCTCTTCAAAGTACAAGGACTGACACTTAAGTTCACGAACTCATCCTAGAAAAAGTGCTACGTGCCTCATTGCCGAATATCACTATGGTCACCTTTGAAGTACTCCCCTTGGGAAACTACGCACCAAAGCCAGCGCCTAGTCCACCCTTCAAAGCAATTTTGGAACTCTCTTTCTGGACCTGCCATCAGAGCTGTCATCATATTACCCTTGATGTCCTGCATGTCATCAAAATGTCTTCATTTCAATATTTCCTTTATCTTTGAGTAAAGAAAGAAGTCACTGGGGGCCAGATCAGGTGAGTAGGGAAGGCTATCCAATACAGTTATTTGTTTACTGGCTAAAAACTCCCTCACAGACAGTGCCATGTGAGCTGGTGCATTGTTGTGATGCCAAAGCCATGAATTGTTGGCAAAAGTTCAGGTCGTTTAACTTTTTCATGCAGCCTCTTCAGCACTTCCAAATAGTAAACTTGGTTAACTGTTTATCCAGTTGGTACAAATTCATAATGAATAATCCTTCTGATATTAAAAAAGGTTTAGCAACGTCACTGCAAAAAGTTCATGAACTTAATTGTCCAGTCACGTATACTTCATAAAAAAGCGGAGGTTAAGGAGATTTTAAAATACAGACTTAAAGGGGTTTCATTGTCCCCATCCCCTTGCCAGTATTTCCCTTCCTCTCTAAGCATTCTGCTCTCCTCTTTTTCTAGTGTGAATTTTGAAGAGATTCTGAGGAGTAGCCATTGCGATAGCAAGGTGACTTCACTGAAGGATTGCTTCATCCAACCCAGCAGGTAGGGGTTGTAAAGGACTTCACATACTACATTAAAAAATACAGAAAACACATCATAGTCAAATTTCTGAAAACCAAAGATCAAAGAGAAAAATCTTAATAGCAGCCAGAGAAAAAAAGACTCATTCTGCACAAGACCTAGGGGAATAATAATACATACTGACTTTTTAACAAGCTAGAAGACAGTAGAGTAACATCTTTAAAGTGCTGAAAGAAATACAACCTTTAACCTAGAATTAGAAATCTAGTGAAAAGATCCTTCAAAAATGAAGAGGGAGTTGGGGGGGCGGGGAAGAGAGAAAAAAAGAGAGAGAGAGATGGTTAAATAAGCAAAAGCCGAGATAATTTGTCAACAATAGACATGTACTATAAGAAATACTGAAGTAATCTTTCAGGCTGAAGGAAGTGATAGCAGATGGAAACTCAGACCAATGAAAAGTGATCTTGAAAAATGAAGAGTGCCGAAAATGGTAAGTATGTGGGTGAATAGAAGTTACATTTTCCTTCCTTATTGAATGAGTAAAACTTAACAACAGAGCTAAGTTTTTGGTAGACATTAATGCGTAGTATCCTCTCTCATCGGTAAGCATTTAAATGTTTCCTTTTATCACTGCTAAATACCTCAAAAGGGCTATCTACCTACTGTTTCTCAAATTTAATGTGTGTATAAATCACCTGAGGATCTTGTTAAATTCAACTGCAATAATAAATTCATTGTGGTATTGGTAAAGGATACACAAATAGATCAATGGAATCGAATAGAAATATATTCTTTTAATCCCCCCTTACTTCTAACCTATTTATCTTTATGCTTATATTTTATATTTAAAGCATCTCTCTTATAAACTGTATAGAATTGGTTCTTTTTTTTGTTCAGTTTTATAATCTTTGCATTTTAATTGGAGTGTTTAGTCCAATTATATTTAATATAATTATTGATGTTGAATTTATGTCTACCATTTTACTATTTGTTTTCTCCTGTCCATTTGCTTTATCCCATATGTTTTTTGTTACTTTGTTTCTTCTTTCCTTCCTTCTTTTGGATTTGTTGAGAATTTTTAAGTATTCCATTTTATTTCCTCTGCTGGCTTTAGAGCTATACCTTTTTGCTTTATTTTTAATGGTTGATCTAAGGATTGTAATGTGCATCCATAGCTTAGCAGAATCTACTATGATTTCATAATATATCACCACATGTGTCACATGAAAGACTTACAAATATATGCTTCCTGTTCCCGAACTTGTCCTTTGCATGATTGTTTCACACATCATATTTCTACAAATGTGAAAAGCCCCACAATAAGTTGTTACTACTTTTGCCTTAAATAGCCAATTGTCTCTTAAAGAAATTAAATAAAGTCAATATTGGGGAAATCCTGAAAAACTTTCTAAATTTACTGTCTGCTTGTTTAAAAAAAAAATCCTTAAACACACTTATAAGAGCTGTTATTAAGTCCTTGCTTGCTAATTCCAATATCTCTGTCATTTCTAGGTATGCTTAATTTTTAAAAAGGATACTGAAAGATAAACAAAACCCAAATGACAACAAAACCAGTAGCTCTGGCTGAGATCACACATACTTAACTGCTGAAATTCCAGGTCCCTGAGTCCCAGGGAGAGTGAGAGGGGTCAAATGTTCTACTCTCTGCCACTTGCTTGTCACTGCAATCATTGCCTCCTTCCCAAGACCCTCTGGCTTAAGCATAGTGGGGGGCTGCTGCCCATGCCAGTACCTCCCTGAGATGTTGTTCTTGTGGCCCAACCATAGCTACATTGCTACCACCACCATCATTCCCATCCTTTCTGCAGTGTTGCAGCCACAGGCCCAGGGCTACTCCAGAACACACAGCTTCTCTATACAGCCCAGACCAGTATTAAAGAGCCTGCTTTTTTTTTTTTTTAAGATTTTTTTTTTTATTGGGGAATTGGGGGAAGGGGAACAGACAAGTTGCTGTTGTTTTTTGTTCTTCAGTCTAGTTGTGGAGGACGTTGCTTCACTGGCCCAAGTTGGCACCATCATTGTGCTCTTCCCGGGTGAGGCAGATCAGTCGCCGGATTCTGGATGGCCGCTCACAGAAGCTGCTGGCTACACACGGTAGCCCATGGCAACCCACTGCCACAGGGACTGCAGCCTATGCCGTTGTCGGCGACTCATGGCAGCCCAGCTCCAGGTTGAGCTGTTGTTCAGCATCTTAGCTGTGGAGAACAGTGTCACTGGCCCTCATATGTGGGATCGAAACCGGGGTCCTCTGGCGTCCCAAGCCAGCTCTTAACCATCGCGCCACTCGGCCAGCCCCAAAGAGCCTCCTTTTGATACTTCTCCTCTGGGTGCTCCAAATGATGACCCTGCCTCTCCTGCTTCCTATTGCCTCTCTCTGCAGAGCTGCAGGAAAGCCCCGGATGAGCCCTGCAGCCAGAACACTCAGTGCCTCTCATCTGCCCTTGTCCCCTGGGGTCAGGTCTGCTTCATCTCCAGCCAGATTTTCTTACTGTCCACGGCTACTGGTCAGAGGATTCATTTCCCCCTAGTGGTGACTCTCATCAAACAAGGACTCGTTAAACTGCTAAGCATTTGCTAAGAACTTTTTATGTGTATAACATCCTAATAATTATCAAGAAATAAGTAAAAAGAACTGAACAAATACACAGACTACTAATTTAAAACCACACAGTCCGTTTAATAAAAGAGTCTCTTGCTTTTAAAAAGTTGAAATCTACTGGACTCT